AGTATTTGAGGGAAGACTATTGCCCTATAATATTTTGTGACTATCACGATTTTTCCTTAGGCTCCTCCGTGCATCATGCTATCTTTGCCCCTGCATCCTTCCAGCCATAGCATTCCTAGTGTAACAATCTGTAGCAGTGACCATGTTGACTGTATTTTTTTCCCCTCTAAGAAGCCAGGAGAGCGCCTTATCTTATTTGGGCTGAGGATCTGGCAAATGGGAGCAGGTCTTTGACGTGGATAAAGCTGTGGGTATATTTCACAATGGTTGGTTTTTCTCCTGACAGTAGCAGAACCAGGAGGGGGATTTTCTTAGTTCTTCACCACTAGAAACTGGTGGCATTCCTATTGGTGACATCCATGAAAGTGCTGGGCTTTGCTAAAGGACAGATTGTTCCCTTGAGCACCAGTTCTAGTCCCGGCTGCTCCTCTTCCGATCCTATTCTCTGCTATGGCCTGGGAAAGCAGTAGAAAATGGCCTAAATGCTTGGGCCTGGGCACCCACATGAGTGACCTGGAAGAAGCTCCTGGATCCTGGCTTTGGATTGGCTCAGCCATTACGACCATTTGGGGAGTGAACCGGCGGGTTGAATATCTTTCTCTCTGTCTCTCCCTTTCTCTGTCTGTAACTCTACCTCTCAAATAAATAATAAAATCTTTAAAAAAAATTGTTCCCTTTATCTCTTTAAAATGCTATGCACATTTCTTCTAACATTTCCTACTTGAAAATACACTTTATCTGATATGAAATTAACCATATCAATTTCTTTTTTTTTTTTTTTTTGACAGGCAGAGTTAGACAGTGAGAGAGAGAGAGACAGAGAGAAAGGCCTTCCTTCCATTGGTTCACCCCCCAAATGGCCGCTACGGCCAGAGCTATGCCAATCCGAAGCCAGGAGCCGGGGGCCTCTTCCTGGTCTTGCATGTGGGTGCATGTGCCCAAGCACTTGGGCCATCCTCCACTGCCCTCCTGGGCCACAGCAGAGCACTAAACTGGATGAGGAGGAACCAGGACAGAATCTGGTGCACCGACCGGGACTAGGACTTGGGGTGCTGGCAGCGCAGGCAGTGGATTAGCCTAGTGAGCTGTGGCGCCGGCCATGTCAATTTCTTTTAAAAAAAATTGTGCTATTTTTCATTGTAAAATTTCTCATCCTTTTACTTTCCATTTTGTGTATGTGTATGTGTGTGTGTCTTTTTACTTGGTGTAGTTTCTTTTAAATGACATGTAAATGATGACTCCTTCTTAGGTTGCCTGTTAATATTTTTGTTTATTTGTACTTGGCTACTGCTTCTGTAATAGTCTAACCTTTTGCTATATGTTTTGAGTTCATGGGGAAGTCACATAGGTCTCTGGCAATAACAAAGCACCTAGCAGCAATAATAAAATTACTAGTGACAGAAAAGCCCCTAGCCAGTGACAGTCTGCCCCAGATATAAATATATATCTGCAAAATTGTAATCGATATTTCAGCAAGTGTCAGCTAATAGCTGGCCTGCTTGCACGTTGCTCCCTTATGGAAGATTTTTAAGAAGTCTAACTCCACTCATTCTCGGTTCTGGTGAATTCTCACCATCCATTCTTAAATTAAACGTTTCCCTTTACTCTGTTTCTTCTTTTGTACTAATCAAATTATTTAATGTTAACGATTTTCATTGTTGTATTTTACTTTTTCATTATTTTTTCTATTTTAATTATTAATAGTCTAAGGTTTTTCTGATATCCAATATTTAAATAACCCATAATCAACTTCAATTGATCCTTTTGACATATTCCACAATCTTACAACCATTTATCTCCATGTAGCTCTTTCATACAATTTTGATATCATCCTGATTTACAAATATGTTATAAACCCCACAAAATATTACTGTTGGTACTCTAAACAGCCAATATCTTGCATGTATGGCAAAGCTCAAACTTTCCTTTTGAATGTTTGGTAGTTGAGTCAGTTGAAACAAACTGACAATAGGCAGATTAACTGGAAAACAAGCAACACTTTCATTAATGCACATAGGTGCTCAGGAGCCATAGGGAATATGAAATTCAAAGAGGGAGCAGATGGTTGAGACATACATATCCTGCTCTTAGAGAAGGAAGCAGGGGCCGCAGGACATTTTAGAGGGGTCCCAGTAGTTTTTATGGGTGAGAATTAGTCTAGAGAACAGAGGATGGCCTGAGACAGAGTTCCTCTGGGATCCGGGTGTGGGGCTTGATTTTTCAGTCTCTTCCTCTGTGATATGAGTCTGACATACCTTGCCTTTAGGTGGAGAACACAACTTCAGGAAAAGCCCTCCCTGCATCTACTGGTTCCTGCATACCCTCAGTTTGAAGTCCCAAATTGCATATTTTGAGTACTATTTTCTGAGTCCCAATTTCCTGTGCCCTGTCCAGTGCTGTTTGTTCCTTCTCTCACTTCTGTCCCTCCATCTGGGATCATTCCACGTAGTTGTAGAATTTCCTTTAGCAGTTGTTATAATATGTGACTGCATTTTACACAGTTTTATATTTATTTATTTATTAAGGGAAAGAGTTTATTGACGGGGGAAATCTGACATGCAGGGGGAAGGGGCAAAGAAGAGAGAAGGAGGGCAGCTGAGAGAGAGAGAAATCAAGAGAGAGTGACAATTATATATTTATTTACAGGAAGCTAATTCTGATACCACCAATTTTGTCATGGATATTTAGAAATAACAGTTTTATTTATTTATTTATTTTTAGTTTTTATTTATTTGACAGATAGAGCTATAGACAGTGAGAGAGAGAGACAGAGAGAAAGATCTTCCTTCCATCAGTTCATTCCCCAAATGGCTGCTACGGCTGGTGCTGTGCCCATCCGAAGCCAGGAGCCAGGTGCTTCCTCCTGGTCTCCCATGCGGGTGCAGGGGCCCAAGCACTTGGGCCATCCTCCACTGCCTTCCCGGGCCACAGCAGAGAGCTGGACTGGAAGAGGAGCAACTGGGACTAGAACCCAGCGCCCATATGGGATGCCGGCGCTGCAGGCAGAGGATTAACCAAGTGAGCCACGGTGCCGGCCCCAATAGTTTTATATTTAAAAGTTATAATTTTGTCTTTTTTCCCTTACCTTTATGAACTTTATTGAGGCATATTTACATTCTATAAATTCAACATTTTATTGAGATTTATTGAGATGTAGCTGCTTTTATACCTGCCGTTTTGGGCTTCTTTGAATTTACAGTCTTTATAAGAGTCTTTGTGTGCTGCTGTGAGAAACAATTCTGGGAGTAAGGTGCATTAATAAATTGTATAAAATTCTAAATCTTCCTTTTCTTGGACTTGCTAGTATATGCAGGAGGGTTAATGGTTACCATTTCCTGATCTGCCTCCTCTTTGTGCTAACACACAGCAGAAGTTTTCTTCTCCATGTTCAGGAAATACATACTCAGCAGGCAACACAAACTAAAGCCTAGAGTGACCAGCCCTGTTGCTCACTCAGCTCTGTAGGCCACTGCTGTCTCATCTCAGCCACGCTGCCAATCAGATAGTTTTACCCGACACTTTCACAGGTACTCAACCCAAACATTCCAAAGTTACAACTTCATTCTCCCTTAAGTTGCTGCTTTCTCTGTTTTAGTGAGCTATATCCAAGCTGCCAAATCATACAAGCTTCTCCATTAACTTTACCTCTTCACAAAGTGGGCCACTATCTGCTGCCTATTCACACTCTCAGTTCTTACTGCTGCTTCCTAAACTTGGATTTTGATGTTTTTTTTTTCTTCCTAATATGCAATCGAAAAGCTCTTTAGTTTATCTCACAGCCCTAAAGCTTATTTTTCTTCAATCTGGTTTGTATGTTGGTACCAGGTGTGTCTTCAAATATAACTGTTACTCAATTACTGATTTGTGTTTCAGTAAATTACCCACATTTGTAAGATTAAGAATCACTTTTCCCATTAAGTATTTCATGATTTGTCTAATTTTTAGGACTCATCTTCATATAAACCCTGTGCTTCTTATATATTGTGACTGCAAGCTTTAGAAAGAAGAGCAAGGTCTGTTTATTAGTTATACTCATAGTGAGTAGTAAACAGCAGACATTCAAAGCATTTTTTAGTTTTTGAGTGGATAAACAGATGGATTCAGGAAGGAAAATCCTTCCCTTTCTAAAATACGAGAAATAAAACATAAAAATCCCCATAAAATCTGGGACAAGCATTTGACATGTAGTTGAGATGGAGGCTGGTTGAAATGGCCCATGTGAGAGAGCTTCGGTTCCTGCCCCAGTTTGGCTCCTGATTCTGGTTTTCATCGTGAACAGGAGACGACAGGTAATGTCTTAGTGGTTGGATACCATTCACACACATGTAGGCCACGATTGCATTCCTTGATTTCAGTTTTGATCCGGTTCAGCTTCAGCCATTGTGGACGATTGGAAGTGAACCTGTAGATAAAATCTCTTTCATTTTCTCCTCTCTCTCATTCTCTTTCAATCTCTCCCTCCCTCCTTGCCTCTTAAATACATAAGACACAAACAACACAAATTTGGAATGTGTAACACTCAAACCAGTAAAATACCAGTATTTGACAGCTTTGTGAAGTGGTCAATGTTAGCATCAAAGAGTATCACACAAGAGAGTCTTATATTCCTGTAACTTCTCAATATCTTGATCTGATGCTGGGTACGTAAACCTACAGTTGTGTTAAAAATGTGGAGTACTTATCCACACACACACACACACACACACACAAATACAAGTAAACCAGGGCAATCAAAATAATATCTGTGGGTTATATTAATTTTGATATTTCTTTGCACTTTTGCAAATTGTTACCATTAGGGCAAACTGAGAAAATAAGCCAGGATTCTCTCTGCGCACTACTTCTTACAAATTCATGTAATTCTATATTATTTCAGTAATGTTTTCAATTAAATGAAAACATTGATTTTTATCTTGTATAGCATCATTAAAAATTGAACTCTCTTTCAGTATGGTTTGGCATATTACACATTTTATAGCATTTATAATCTTCCAGCATATTTCCAAGTGAAAACTGAGGTGGACATCTCCAGCACACACTATGCTCAGCACGATGAGCTTTGGTGATGCCACGTTGTTTCCTTACCAGAGAGTGAGTTTGCCTTAATGGAACATGCAAACACTTTTAACGAACAGTAGGTTTTCTCCTTACTACGTGGTGAATTCCTTATTTACTAGAGGGTTAGGCTCATAATTATGGAGAAAATTAAAAAGTATGTCAATGTAAAAATTAAAAGAAAAATAAGAGAAGAAAAAGGGAGGGTTGGAGTGAAGGAGGGAAGAAGAGTAGTATGAGACATATCATTATGCTCTCAAAACTATGTACATGAAATACATGAAGTTTGTTTCCATTTTATAAATAACAAATTAAAAAATACAAAATAAAAACATAATTGGTGATTATTCTTGCACTAATATTTTACTCATTAGGTGTGCTTTAACTGGTATTCTTACAAACATTTACAGTAAATAACAAATATTCATTAACTTCCATTAAAAATTGAGAGGATGTTTGAAATATACTCCCAATTCTTATATATTTTAATTTAACTATAAATAAAAAGAAATATATATATGTGTGTGTGTATGTCTGTGTGTGTGTGCATGTGTGTGTCCTCCCGTGATTATGCACCCTGAGTAAATAGTGAACCACTTGTCAGCTTCAGGAGAGCTTTCTGCACCTCCCTGTTCCTCAGGGTGTATACAGCTGGGTTGAGCAGTGGGGTCAGCACAGTGTAGAAAACAGCCACAACCCCATCCATGACATCCTTGGAGCCTGGCCTCAGGTAAATGAATATTCCAGGGCCAAAGAAACACAGGACCACGATGCAGTGGGAGGCACAGGTCTGAAAGGCTCAGTGCCTCCCCTCTGAGGTGCGGATCTTCAGGATGGAGCAGACGATGGACACGTAGGACAGCACTATCAGGAGAAAGCAGCCCGAGGCCACCACCCCAATGGTGACAAAGATGGCCATCTCATTGGCTGAAGTGTCTGCACAGGCCAGCTTGAGGATGGGTGGTGCATCACAGAAGTAATGCTGGATCTGGTTGGGCCCACAGTAGGGCAAGCGGAATGTCAAGGTGGTCTGGACAGCAGAGTGCAGGGAGCCACTGAGCCAGGTGCCAGCGGCCAGCAGGGCGCACGTCCTGCCACTCATCATGCTGGTGTACCTGAGCGGGTAACTGATGGCCAGGTAGCGGTCATAGGACATGACTGTGTAGAGGAAACACTCGGTGCTCCCCAGGAAGTGGAAAGAATAGAGCTGCGCCACACAGCTGTGGAAGGAGAGGGCCCCGCCGTCCGGGGACACCAAGGCCATCAGCATTTTGGGCACCGTGACAGTGGAGAACCACACGTCGATGAAGGACAGGTTGGTGAGGAAGCAGTACATGGGGGTGTGGAGGCGAGAGTCCATGCTGATCACCAGCAGGATGAGGAGGTTCCCCAGCACGGTGAGGACGTAGACCACCAGGAAGACGCCAAAGAGTGTGGAGCCCAGGGCTGGTGTGTGGGGAAGGCCCGTGAGGAAGAACGTTGTCACAAGGCTCACGTTCCTCATTGCTGTCATATGTGGGACTCTGTCCTCACAGGAAGGGAGACAAAGCCGGCATTTACTGAGGTCATATTTCATATGAACTGTGACCACTAGGTTTACTCTGGTAGAGAACACAAGGATGCCATTTTTAATATCCTTTACATAGCTCCTTCCCTGCCAAGTGAGGTTACACAGAGGAATCATCACTCCTTCTTCAAGTACCATAGGAAAAAGGAGTGACTTTACATAAAAACACCCAAATTTTGAAAACAATTCTAAATTCTGTTTTCTGTAGAATTTTTAAATATATGTGTGCTTTATCAAACATATAGTATTGGTATACTTCTCACAGGGATAAGCCTTTATTCCAGTACTGCTTTCTGTTTTCCATACATATATCCCCCCCCCCCCACACGGACACACACACACACACACACACACTTCTGAGGAGGCAGACTCAGTGTCTTTGATCATAAGAGACTTTTTGTTACAAATGCAAGTTTCTAAAACAATTCATTTTCATAATGGAAAGCTGAGAGAAAAGTGCGTTTCCAAAGTCCACTGATCAGTAGCACAAGCATCAAGGCATGATCACTGCATCAGGCTATCCCCTTTCACGGTCTGTCTCCCATTCTTTGCCGTACCCTATATCATACCTTCCTAGTCATATCAAAATCTGAGCCGCAATGAATGCATGAATGGTCAGATTACTGTTCCCTTCCTCTTAACCTATACCCATTTATATTTATTAATTTTTATTATTTATTCTATGGTTTTAAACCATCTAAATACGATCATCTCAGATATGCCAAGGAGGATTAGATCTGCCTGTTTAGTAAAGAGGACTAAGCAAAGATGCAATGTTTACAGTCACAGCTGCAGCACATCTTCACTTCTGGATCTCTGATAGAGCAGACTTTTCCACTGTTAAGCTGAACTGGAACTGAGTTGCAACTGAAAGTTGTAATGCTAAGGCTTCCAGAGAAATCATTATATTAATTTATGATTTTATAGAAGTTTGAGACCTTTACAAAACTATGCAAAGTTGAATCCATATGTCATGACTAAGGCAATCTTAGTCAAATATGAAGAAGAATGAGGAAACACATAATAAATGCAAACACATTGTGATTCCCCCAACATGTTCAACAGTAGGAAGTGCTGAGGTTTTACAAATTTTTGCTACTTACCAATTTTACAACTAGGTTTTCGACAAAACGCTATGTCTATAATGAATAGTGCAATTCGTTTTGGTTCAAAGAAGAAATCAAGAAGAAAACTCTGTAGAAACAAACTCTTCAAATAGAGCTTTAATTTGTTTTGCTACTCAGGGTCCTCAGGAAGAGGTTAGTGTTTCAACATTGTCTTAAATATTCTAAAGTTTATGCAAATGCAGCTGTGAAAGTTGTTTCTTTATTTTCTAGGTCATCATTCTACAAGCTGTATTATTTAGCTCAAAATTAATTTCCAAAATAAGTAACTATGGCTTGCTGGGTTTCAAAATTCTTTGTGTGAAGAATGATTTTTTTTTCTGATTCATTTTCTGAGTCTAAAAGTAGAAAAAAATAGATGTCCATCCCAGAGGAGACAATTCTCTTATGAGTTCACAGGGCCCTTGATGAATCTTTAACTTTCTAGTAATTGTGCTAAGTCAGCAAAAGGAGCCCTGGGTCTTCGGTGCTCCAGGGATAATGTGTATCATTTCTTCTAGGTAATCGTCATACTCATTAAACTTTGTCCCTCTGTGGTTTGGCAGACTTGTCCTGTGGGCAAATTCCTAGCCAACAATGGATGCAACCTCACTGTATCTGGTTCAGAGATTTCCTTTTCTCAGAATTTCTAGCCTCTTAATTTAAAACATATTTACATTTTATCTGAATGTTCTTTACCTTGAATTCATACAGTTAAAGAGATGTGGTGTACGATTCTTTCAGAATTAATATATGTCTTAGCTATCAGGAAAAGGCATTTTAAAATCACGGAAAAAAAACTAGTCTAAGGCAGCAGAAACCCAAATCATCATTAGTTTTGGAGAAAGAAAATAGTTGTAGCTAGCTTAATAGAAGCTTTTGTGTCACCTGTGTATGGAGAACATAACTTGGGATTTTGAAGAGCTGAAGCCCCCTAAATCAACATTTCTGGCAATTAACCTACCACATTAATCTATTTCTGGTATTGGTTATACATAATTATTCAATGTAAGATCACAATGCTATCTAGAAAGATTATCTAATAAAACATTTTCAACTGAGCTCTGGTTAATATACTTCAAAATTTCCTTATCAAATAGATGCTTAAACTTCTATCTAACTTTCTTCTTCAAATCCTTATGAATGTTATTATCTTCCATTTTATTCTCTTGGGTTATAAGCCTTTTTACTATAATGTGAAAAAATTTTTTTTGACAGGCATAGTGGACAGTGAGAGAGAGAGAAAGGTCTTCCTTTGCCGTTGGTTCACCTTCCAATGGCCGCCGCGGCCAACTGCACTGATCCGATGGCAGGAGCCAGGTACTTATCTTGTTCTCCCATGGGGTGCAGGGCCCAAGTACTTGGGCCATCCTCCACTGCACTCCCTGGCCACAGCAGAGAGCTGGCCTGGAAGACTAGACCGGGACTAGAACCCTGTGTGCCAACTTCCAACATCATGAAGAATTCTGCACTGATAATCCCTGGCATGTGGAAAAGACACAGCCGAGACCACCACAAATTCTGTGACTTGTGTTGATTCCCTAACCAACACTGTAGAAGGGTAGAGCTCTGGGCGCTGGTGTTTACGACATAGATTCATCACGGGGCCTGTGCTGCCAGTGAGCAGTTTTTCTGACACGAGTATTTTTCACAATTATTTGTGCTATACAAAGTCTTTCGCATTTCCATATATTTTAGAATCAGCTTATTAATTTTTATAAAAATCTGCTGGAATTTTGATAAGAAATGCATTGATTCTCTAGAACAATTAGGGGAGAATTGACATCTTAACAATATTATGTCTGATACATGGCTACTGCAAACCTCTTGTTTCTCTTAACACTGCTGTGTAGTTTCATTGTTCAGATCCAGGATAGTTTGTCAGATTTATCACTATTTACCATTTTGATGCTATTTTAAATGGTAGTTTTAAAATTTGAATTTGTGTTTATGCATTGAAAATTCATAGAAAGACAATTGATTTTTGTATATCCATCTTACATCATACAACCCAAAGTCATTCATTCTTGTAGCTTTTTCAATTTTTTAGGTATTTATTTCAGAATAGTTAGATTCATAGAAAAATAGTCATGTAGTACAAAGAGTTGTCACATATGGTATACCTACCTTCCCCTATGATTATATCTCATATTATTATGACATATTTATCACAATTGATAATCATAATTGATAAATTATCATTAAATTGATAATAATAATGATAGTTGATAAAAAATAATTAACCATACCGAACATCCTTTGTTTTTTAATTTGAACTTCATCCATCTGGGGGTAATAGATTTCAGCTTTTCTTAGTTCAGTATGATATTGTGCTATATAGACTTTATAATTTTTTAGGTCTGTTATTCTATACTTAATTTGTGGAAAGTTTTCTTTTTTGAATCATGAACAGATGTTAAATCTTATCAAATGCTTTTTTTCCATTTATCGAGATTATCATTTTGTCATTTATTCTGTTAATGTGATTTTAATATTCATTGATTTGCAAGTGCTGAACCATGATTGCCTGATATAAATCTCACTTGAATGTGATATATGATAATTTTCATGCAGTGTTAGACTCAGTTTGGTAATATTTTCTTGAGAAATTTTGGATCAATGTTCATCAAGTATATCGTTCTGTAATTTTCCTTTTGTGTTATGTCTTTTATTTTGATCTCAGAGTAACGTTGGCCTCATAAAAAGAGTTTGGTAGAGATTCATCCTTTTCCACATTTTGGAACAGTTTGAAGAGTATTGGAGTTAGTTCCTGTTTATACATCTTGTAGAATTCAGGTAGAAAGCCATTAGCTCCTGGACTCTTCTCTGATGGAGGTTTTCAGTTACTGCTTCACTCTTGTTACTTGTTGTGGATCTGTTTATATTTTCTCTATCTTCCTGATTTAATTTTGGTAGTTTGCATGTATCCAGTAATTAGTCTACTTATTTAAAATTTCCCAACTTGTGAGTGTATAGCTGCTTATTGTAGTTTCTTATGATCTTTAGTACTTCTGTGGTATTAGTCATAGCAGTCTCTTTTTCATTTCTAATTGCATTTATTTGAGTGTTTGCTGTTTTCTTCCCTTTGGTAGTCTGTCTAAAGATTTGTCTATATTATTTAATCTTTTCAAAAACAGCTTCTAATTTCATTGACTTATATATAATATATAGGAAATTAATATATATGTATATATGTAATAAATAATAAAAATTATATATAATAAATTTTGTTCATTTCTGCCTTGATTTTTATTCTCCTTTAAATTTTTGGTTTGATTTGTTCTTGTCTTAGTAAGTCTTTGAGATGTGTCATTAGATTGCTTATTTGAGATCTCTTTTTTTAGTATAAGCACATAATCTATAAACTTCCTTCTTAATACTGCTTTTGCTGTATCCCACAGGATTTGGTATGTTGTGTTTTCATTTTTAATTTTCCAAGAAAAAATTTTTATTCACTTTTTGATTTCTTCAATGACATATTGGTCATTCAGGAGCATGCTGTTCCATTTCTAAGTATTTGTAATTTTTCTATTGTTCTTGCTGGTTTCTAATTGTATTCCTTTGTGGTGTAAGAAGATATGTGATATAATTTCCATTTTTTTAAATTTACTGACTTTATTTGTGGCCTAATATATGGTCTATCCTAGAAAATGTTCAGGTACTAATGAGAAGAATGTGTTTTCTGTAGCTTTTGGATGAAATGTTCTGTAAATGTCTGTTAGGACCATTTGTGATACTGTATGTTTCAACTCTGATGATTCTGTTGATTTTCTTCCTGGATGATCTATCAATTGATGAAAGTAGGATGCTGAAGTCCTCCGCTATTAAATCTGTTGGAATCTCTCTCTCTCTCTTAGGTCTAATAATACTTGCTTCATATACCTGGGTGATCGTGTGTTGATATATTTTAGAATTTTTATATTTTGTTGACTTGATCTTCTAGTCAAGACACAATGTCCTTCTTTGTCTCTTCTAGTTTTTGATTTATAATCTATTTTATCTTATATATAAAGTATAACTACTTCAGCTGGTTTTTTGTTTTCATTTGCATGATATATCATTCTCCAACCCCTCACTTTCAGTCTATGTATCTGTACCTGTGAAGTGAGTTAGTTGTGGTCAGCATTTCACTGGGTCTTGTTTTTCTTTCCATT